AGCCAGAATGCTCCTTGGAAGCAAGAATGGCCAGACTTCATCTCACCTATTTTGGTCATGTTGTCAGAAGGGACCATTCCTTGGAGAAGGATGTCATGCTTGGTAGGGTGGAGGGTCGACGAAAGAGGGGGAGGCCTTCAACGAGATGGATTGACATGGTGGCTGCGAGATGGGCTCAAGTATAGCAAGGATCATGGAGCTGGCGTGGGATCGGGCAGTGTTTTGTTCTGCTGTGTATGGGGTCACTACGAGTTGGAAACTACTCAACGGCACCTAACAACAACAACAAATACATTCTTAACTTTGACAGTTCATTATTACCTTGAGCTTGAGTGTAAACTTAAATTTATGCTTTCTTATTTGTAAACTGGGATGAATATCACTTTTTTTCCAGTGTGCATATGAGGATTAAATGTGACACGCAACCCCATTTTAAAGCACTTACCACAATGCCGGGAGAGGTGTTGATGGCTGCTGTTGTTATTCATACCCCTGATTAGTATGACAGTGACATCAATTATAAAATTTTAAAGTCAAACCTTGTATTTCAATAGCAGTTTCTAGTATTCAGTGTGACTTCTCAGCCCTCATTTTAGTTCATTCTCAACCCCAAATCTCTGAATAGAGGAGTACTACCCTACTTTCATACCTGACAGATTAAGCAACAGGCCCAAAAGAGTTCAGCTAATGACAGGGCCAACCTGTAACTCAAATTTGACTCCAACTCCCTGGGGCCTGCACCATGCTGGTTCTGAGCTGCTCCACTAACCAGTCATCATTCTTGATCCCACATCTTCTCCTGGGGATTGATGATGGCCTGCATTTGGGAATAAAGTTGTAGTGGAGAGAAAATGACTCATGTGGTCAAAGACAAAGTGAGTTGGATCCTGGCTCCCAGTTTTCCACCTGCCCTTGAATTATTAGGGTTCCATGGGCTTCAGTCCTCAGCTCACTTCATGTGTTACTGTGTTCCAGCTCTTAAGATTGTGGAGCCATGAGCCCCTTTCACAAACTGATGGGGCACAGCCATATAACAGCAGCTGAGAGCCCACTTATAAAAAAAAAAGAAAAAGTTTGCTAAATAAATGGGACGTTATAGGCACTTTCTCTGTATCAGTCAGGACAAGTAAAACAGCTGCTGTAACAAACAAACAAAAAAATCTCAACAGCTGAACAAAATAGATTCTAGTCCATGTCCCAGTCCAGCACAGGTTGGCAGGTTGGGTGAAGGATGGCGAGGGGGCTGGTTCCACCCAGTCATTTGGGCCCTTCCATCCAGGAGTTCCTGCCAGATGTAAGCTTCTGAGGCCGCTACTGGATATTCTGCATCCCACAGGCCGATTATACATATTTTAGAGGCCCAGTGAATTGACCTGAACTCAGTCATGTGACCCTACCTACTTAACTGCTGGGGGACTGGGAAGTGTTGTCTCGCAGTGCCCCGAGTATGGAGAGGACAGTTACTGGAGGTCCCAACTGGTCTCCATCTCAGTCTACTCCATCTAAAATAGCCACCCCTTCCACCACCACCCCCACATCACATTATCTTTGTATATGTGATTCATTTCATTCTTCATTATCTGAAATATATGGATGTATTGTCTATGTTCCCACCAAAAAAAAAAAAAAAAATCCATTGCCATTGAGGCAATTCTAATACATAATGACCCTATAGGTCAGAGTAGAACTACCCCATAGGGTTTCCAAGGCTGTAAATCTTTATGGAAGTAGACGGCCTCATCTTTCTACCAGAGGACAGCTGGTAGGTTCAAACCATCAACCTTTTGGTTAGCAGTCCAATGCTTTAACCACAGCATCACCAGTAGTCCTATGTCCACACAGTAGACTGTAATTTCCTTGACAACAGAAGCTTTGTGTATCTTTTCCACCCAAAGTTCTGACCCTAACATAATGTCTGGCATATAGTGTATTCTCAAGTATTTATTGAGTAAATATTAAACTAACAGGAACATTAACAGCGTGTTAGGATATCGAGAACAAATGGTAAGTCCTTGGGTGAGGCAAACAGCTAATGGTCTTCGCTATTAACTGAAAGGTTGGACATTCGAGTCCACCCAGAGGCACCTCAGAAGAGAGGTCTGGTGATCTAATTCTAAAAAAACAGCACTGAAAACTCTACGGAGCACAGTTCTACTCTGACACACATGAGTCAGAGTTGATGCAATGGCAACTGGTGGTTAGAATGAATGGCGAGAACAGGGCAGCGGAAGAACAGGAGGCTTCAGGTCTCTAACTATTCTGCCCAGTGGTAACCACTCTTCAGATCTGCCCTAGCTTCCTCACTGCTCTCTTTCCTACTCGTACTTCCTGGATCCTAATAAAGGCATCATGCTGGGTCTAGTAGGGGCGCTTCACCCTCCCCCATCCATCACAGGAGCCAAAAGTGGTTTAAAACAACTTATTTATTTGCATGTATAAAACAAGGCCCTGGCCACGGGTGAGAAAAGCTCAGACTCACCTGTGCCAATTCTTCCCTGGCCAGAAAGGACCTGTAGGGCTAAAACCTCACCTCTCTTCATCCTACCCTCCCCATCCCCTAGTCAAAAATAATTGAGAATCCTAGCAAATGGTCCCAGTTAAAACCTACTCAACCAAGAAGAATATGACAACTTTAAGGAGATGTTGGTTAAAAAAAAATAAATGGCTATGGCATAAAGCAGTGAAAGAGGGTCAGTGAAAAAGAGGAAGACCCTGAACAAGGCAGATTGATAAAATAACTTTAATGGGCTCCATCCCAGCCCTGATTGTAAGGATGGTCCAAGACTGGGCAGTGTTTTGTACTACTGTGCATGGGGTCTCTGTGAGTTGGAATGCACTCAATGCCACCTAACAACAACATTGGATCTGAAGCTGGCAGATGGCAACTCCCACCCCAATGACAGACCATCCTTAGCAAACTGCCCCCTCTAGGGCTTCCAGGGATAATACCCTGCTCCCAGGGGTTGGGTGCCACTTTGGAAACAAGATAAAAACTCTAGAACCTAAAACTTCATGACCTCAGAATTCCAAAACCAGCTAACCTCATGTTCTCTACCACCACCAAACCCTTTTGCTAAAATCCATCCACCTCTGCCCCTCTAAGCCAATTCACAGGAACAAATCAACAAGTCACAGCCTCAGGCTTTCATCATATTCCTCTCTGGTCATCCACTGGGACCTGTAACTAGAAAGATGAGCCACTACAGATGCTCCTAGCCAGACGCTAAAGTTGCGACCGGAACCAACCCAGACCGTGGGCTTAGTGCACGAAAAGTGATCAGTGGTCAGCTCCTTGTACAAGCGGTTGGTGAAACCAGGGTATAGGGTGTTCCCCCCACAGGCCATCACATGGGACATCAGCAACGGGTGAATCGAGGTGTCACAGGTCTCCATAGCTTCCATGAAGGCCTGAGAGATGCTGGGCCCTGGCAGGTCATACACCTGGGGACTGAAGAACATCTCAGGAGCAAGCCGCTGCATGGGTGTCAGCTCCACTGGGGTGCCGTCGGGGAGCAGGTAGCTGTTGCTCTCGTCAGAGCCACTGGGCAGGCTCTGACAAAGATCCAGCGACTCTGCCAAATTCTGTGGCACATAGCACTTGCTCATCTGTGTCGTGGCGACCGTCTCCAGCTGAAACAGGTTGTGTTGGTCACACTCTTCCTTAAAGAGGCTCTTAAAGAGATAGGCAGAGAGATCCTGGCCAGCAAACTCTACTGTCTTACAGCTTGAGGGCAACGGGAGACCCAGGTGGAAAGGCTTCACACGGGTCAGGCCATATCCAGAATCAACCACCACGCCGGTCAGGAGGCCAGAGGAATACAGTGACATCTCCAGCTGGTCAGCCAGGAGGACAGAGGGAACATCCAGGAGTTCGAACATAATCTGCAAGAAGAGAGACATGCTCAGTGCATTTTCACCGGGGACCCACTTCTGTTTCCCTGAGACGCTACGACACACTCAGCTCTCAAAATGGACGACAGCATGGACCGCTGTTCTAGGAGACCCACAGGATATCCCCAGGACGGTGGTTCTGGGGACCCTGGAGCTCATGCTATGCAGATAAACGGGTACTCTAGAGTTAGTGACAGCACTGGATCTGTGCTCAGAGCTTGTTTGATGGTGGCAGCTCAGAAGACCATGTTGGTGGGAAGAGCAGTCAGGCTGCAAGAAGTATACAGGTCTGCAGCCTGAATCATCCCTTTAGAAGAAAGAAGAGAAGAGAGATTATCTGGCTCTGTATATTGACTGCTGCCTCTGAAAATGTGGGGGTAGAAAGAAAGAAATGCACTCACTGCCTGCTAGGGGAAACTTTCTTTTTCTTTTCTTTTTAATAATAACTTTTCCAAATTTCAAGGCAAAACTGGATTCCAATATTCAGAGTTTGGCAAAATCCCTGGGCTGACTTTTCCCCCCTGGCCCATCACCTTCTGGATCTGACCCCCTATTGTCCCCGAGTCACTTCAACTCATGACGACCCGTGTGTTACACCGGGGAACTGCCCCACAGGGTTTTCTTGGCTGCAATTGTGATGGAGGCAGATTGCCGGGTCTTTCTTCCAGGGAGCCACTGGGTGGGTTCAAATCACCAATCTTTTTAGGTTGGTAGTCAAGTGCAAACTATTGGCACCACCCAAAGGACCCTTTAGATCTTTACAGTGCCCCCAGTTCCTCACCTCTGCCAGAGCTTGGAATCTATGGGTGCAGAAAGGCTGCAACTATGTCCACTATTCGGTGGCCCTTGGCCATTTACATGCCTCTTTAGGCCCCAGCAGGCCTATCTTGCCCTCTCAGTGGAAGGAGATATTCTCCATCCCCATTCTCAGAATACCACAAACACACATACCCCATCCATTTCCCACACATCAGCCAAGGTCATCTTTTTTTTTTTTCTCCTTCTAGTCCTTTAATAATTTCATTTTTTAAAATACATTTTATTGAAATATAATTTATGTTTAGTGAAAAACACATAACTAAAGTAACATGAGTCAATGCTTTTTTTTTTGCAGTGTTTCCTCCTCTTACCTCCCACTCCTGGCAACCAACAAAGAAAGCTTCCCTCCATATATAACCCTTCCCTTGACCCTCCACAACAACGAACTAATACTTTATTTGTCCTTCTGTGATTGACTTACTTCATTCAGCATAATGTCCTCCAAGTTCATCCATATTATGCGGTGTTTTGCAGACTCTACATTATTCTTTAGTGCTGCATAGGATTCCACTATGTGCAGGTACCATAGTTTATTCATCCACTCTTCTGCTATAAATCTTAGAGATAAGTCCCTTGCCAGATATGTAATTAATGGCAAATATGAATTTGTTGGAGGAAGTGCACCAGATGAAACACACACGAATCTGACTGACTACATCTGTGGCAAGAGGCAGTGGAAAAGCTCAATATCAATATCTTCAGCCAAAACCAGGCCAGGAGCTGATTGTGGAACAGACTATCAACTGCTCATATGCAAGTGCAACTTGAAGTT